TAACGGATTTCGATCTAGTACAAATTTAGAAAGTATATGCAGAAATATTGTATTTGATTGGATATTTCTACAGATACCTTCTAAATTTGTACTAGATCGAAATCCGTTATGACAAGGTTTGACTGTATTAATATATATAGTATACTTATATAATAATATTTGTTTGTTTGTTTGCTTGTTAAATTACAACATATTCAAAACTGATGGTTACTAGTGCAAATCTTGTGTTTTAAGTAAAATTCAGAATAAACCACATATATATCATGCCAAAGACTATGAACCAGAAGAAATTGGTCAATTAAAGACGCTTATTAAAGATTGCTTGGTGCCAAATAAATTGAAATTAAAATGTGGTGCACAAGTAATGCTTATTAAAAACATCAATATAGGATTTAGCTAATGAGAGTAGAGGTATTATTATTGGTTTTATTCAAAAGCTACTTGAAAAAAATATTATAATGGTGACGATGAGATTGTGGAGTCTGACAAGGAAAATGAAACATTGCCAATAGTTAGATTTACTGAAAATAAAGAATTGGTTGTTTTTGAAGCTGAGTGGAGACTGGTAATGTTGTATTAGCAAGTAGACAACACAACAAGTAGGTATTTTTGTATTTATATGTGTATAGCTTTTTTTTTTTTAATATATATATGTATGTATTTATTATATATTTAATGTAATATTAGACTCATCTTATACTTGCTTGAGGCCAAATGCTGGAAAGAGTAAAAATTGATTAAAAGAAGTTTTTGAGAAAGGTATATATATATATATTCACAATAATGATAGTATAACTATTATTACAAATAAATAAATAAATTATTATGTTGTTTTTTTTTGTAAATAGGGCAAGCATATGTTACTTTGTCTCGATAGAATCATTGCAGGTTTTAAACTTCACAAGAGAAAAAATAATGGATCATGAAAAGTAAAGAAATTTTATGAGTCATTAACAGATTAATGAATTGAATATTAAATATTTTATTATTTTATTGATATTGAATTTTTTTTAATGTTATATCAACACCATTATTAAAATAATTGAATTTATTCGCTCTTTTACACAAAAACAAAAGATTATGATTTTACATACATAACCTGCATATCCTATATTAATATTGTGAGATTGAAATCTGCTTCTTACAGTAAATCTCAATATTTTATTTATAATAATATTTTTCTTTTATCTATACAGTTATAATCGAATGCTCCTTGATATTTTTAATCTCAATTGCAATTGCTTTCCTTGTTTGTGTTATTAATAGCTAGCTCTTTGTCTATTAATTCACATTTTTATTCCCCTCCAGTAATGTTTTCTCTGCAGTTCTTTTTGTTATCTGCCTGAGCCATCACGTTCCCAATATATTTATAATATATTTATAATATCCGCCTTAGTATGTTGAGCTTTACTCTTTGATTATTTAGCCTGAGTTCGTCGGGCTTTGCTCCTTTGTGTATTGGCTGGCCTCACCTAGCTAGGATTTCACTATTCTTAGGCCTTGACCTAAGCTACTCTAAAATAAAAATAAAAGAAAATAAATAGATATATACAACTATACTTATAAAAAGCATCCCTCTGGTAAAATAATAATAATAATATAGTGTCAAATATAAAATGAGAGATAAATTATTATGCACGGGATTAGTATGAATTTATTGTTAGAGATAGATTTATTATCATTATGAAAATATAATATCGAAGAATACACAAAGACAATGAGACAGTGTTATTTATTAAACAACTATTAATATGATTGATTAATTAATTGATTATAAAGATGATTAATATTATGATTTATAATGATGATAGATGAAGTTAAGAAAATTACAACATTATGTATGTTAAAGGTTCTATCATCTAGTTCTCCGATTTCTTTGAAATCCTAATTTATTCTAATTAAATGTATCACTTGAACCTTCCGTGTAGAATTATTTTCAAGTTATTTCTAAAGTGATCCAATCATTTAAATTCTTTCGTTTAAATTAAATCTGAGGATTAAAGGTCGGTTACATATTTTAGTATAAGAATGTTAGGATGTTTATATCTCCATTGTTTATTATTTTATTATTATTGTAATACTTGATCAGTTTTTCCGATTTTATTTTCCTAAATCATTTCCCGTTTTACAACACAATTGAATGTTTATAATCAAATTTGTCATGATTAAAAGTGATCCTCGACAATGATAACAACGGCAACAACCCAGACAACAATAATATCACAACAATCACAGATGACACAGATTGATGACGTCGATTCATCTTCTACACCCACATCAACATTCGTCACTCTTACATCTACCACACTACAACCATATCCGCTCCAATACCAATAGAAGCTTTAAATAACAACATGTCGGATTTGTCAGCATCAACAATTGAATCAACTTCAAACAATAGTTTCAGAATCTACACTTGCTCCTGCACCAATAATAACATCAACGTCAACAACAACAACTTCTAATCAAAGAAATTTAGAAGTTCTGTCAGAATTAACACATCTCCGATAATATCATTGTCATCCAAATTCACTCATCTAGAATATCCCCTTCTTCTTCTTCCGAATCCTCGAAATCATTATCATTGGTGTATTCTGAAATACCCATGATAGAACCTTCTAGAATACCTTTTAAAATAACAAAAAATCACGGACCCTTAATAAACCTAAACCTCCATCATCAACAACAACAGAAACAAAAACTTCCCCTACTTCTTCAAAACTATCAAATAAATCTAAAATTTCTGGCAAATCTATTCAATACGCGTCATACTTTTTTGAAGACTTTTTGATATGCGTTATCTTTATAGTGAAATTTTTACCTGCATTAATATCTTGCATGAAACCAATTACATATTTATATATTAATATATAATAAAATCAATTTTGACCAGATATGCAAATGGTCATATTGGCTTCGGTTATGTGATTTAGGAAAATATCCATATAAATTATGTAATGTCTTTTCATATGATACTTCATCAGAAGCATCTTTTCATGAAGCATGAATGATTCATTTTTGCAAAACTTGCTGTGGCACTACTTTTATAACCACTCATTACACTATCACTTCTGAAATGAATTATATTGCTACAAGATATCTTATTTGGGTTACAAAACGGTAAATATCATAATTGGTATATTATTAACAACATATTTCCACAATTGCTAAATATTTATCATGACCAATAATTGAAGAAATTAATTCTTCAAATATTGACTGTTTTATTACAAAGGCTGTGCTATCTAAAAATTCAAAACCAACCATAAATTTCCATACTTTGATTTAGATTTCAATGGCTTTTCTAATGAAAGGGGTTTTAAAGTAGAAGTTTTATCACTAATTATTAATTCTTTTCACAATTTGTAATGATATTAAACTACATAAATCAGGACAAATATTTAAGGAAAGATTTTGTTTAGACGAAAAAGAAACATTCCTCATTGATGAAATAATTGCCAATTTTTTTTTTGTCTGGATGTTCTTCTGTCAACTCTATTAAATTCACTTTGGCTTGATTTAAACTTTTGTACCTGCTGCAAATTTTGTGGTCCCATTTCTACTTCTACAAAGTTTACAAAAAAGTAATTTCATTAATTCCTTCAATATCTAGTCATGAATAAAACTAATAAACGAATAATTCGAATAAGAATTTGTACTCTCTTTAAAAAAACTGATCCCGTGATTTAAAATTCCATAGAAAATTTATGGAAAGATTACAGAGGAAAGATAGACTTTTCCACTATTGCAAAATCGTGGAATTTTCAGGAGTTGAAATTCCAATAACAGGCTATTTTTTTATGGGGATTACGAACAGAAGCTCTAGCTCAACTCAATTATAATAAAGATTTTTGCATTTCGTTTTAATTCTCTACAAAATATCTGAACAAACATTGTGAAATTTATATAATCAAATTTCGTTTCAACGAATCTTGTTTCAACGAATTATAATTAAATACAAATTTTTAAATTTATAAAATTAAATTGAAACGTGATTAATAATTTGGTATAACGAATTTTAAATGCAATTTTCTTATGTGTTCCATAGATTCGTTGAAACATGGTTTAACCGTATGCATATATTCAGAACCTAAAAAACATTTTTTATTAGAAGCACAAGTATTGTTAAAACATGGGATCTTGAATTGTTTTCATTTGAAATTTTTTAGTCTTGACGATGATTCAAATGTTCTAAAACTCAAGTACGTTATACCATTTATTAATGTTTATTATTGTCTCATAATTAATTATTCAATTATTTTCAATAGTCTGCAAAATCGTGATTTATAAAAAAATGATATTAAATTTAGTGCTTTTATGTTAGAATATTCGTGCCGGACCAAGTTCGAGCCAAGTATAAACTCGGATTGTTCGGAGTTTAATTATGTCGAAATTGGAAAATGAACTAACATGTGGATTCGTCAATCGGTCCACTTTCAGGAACAAAAAAAAAGACAAAGATTGAGCAACAGTCCTACTTACATCCAATGTAACCGGGACAACCTTTGTTTATACACAAATATCAAAACTCATGCTCATTGATTACTACTATTGGAATAGTAAGGCTTGGATGCAAATACAGTACCTAGACAAAAGAATCGGAATGCATGTTTTTGTTAATTAGGTAAAAACATACATATCAACAACATATTAAATTTATATCATAAGTAACTTAGGTTATGTTAAACCTTCATGTAGAACTTAATGTTTCAAGCTTTTGTACAGCTCGAGTAATAACAATAATAAAATTTCAATCAAAACTCAATTGACCTAAAATTTTTTTTAGTATTTTTTACTAATTATTCAAAAGCCTATACAATAATACAATTTGAAATTTTAATATGTAAAAGTACAAGTCCTGCTAGTTCACATAATATAATTTTTATCACATGTTTTTGTTTACTTTTTTTTTTAAACCAAGTTTTAAAAATTCGATTTTTTAAAAAATCATAAAAAAATCAAAATTTTTTTAAATTTTAAATTAAAAATGCGTGATTTAACTGAAGCAGAGCGCGGAGAAATAATTGGTCTATATAAAAGTGGTGCCACATATAAAAGTATTTCTAAAGAACTTGGCTTTCCTATTACAACTGTTTTTAGAACTGTAAAAAACTTTAAAGAAAGGAAAAGTGTGTCAAATCTACCAAAAAGTGGACGGCCAAAAATTTTGAACACCAATCACCAAAAAAAATTAAAAAAAATCGTAAGACAAGGCAATCGTAAATCAGCCGAACAAATTAAAGATGAGTTTAATGAGAAAACCAATTTACAAGTTTCTACAAGAACAATTAGAAGAAGTTTGCATGAACTTAATTTTTTTTCTCGTGTCCCTGCAGCCAAACCTCTCATTAATGAAGTACAAAGACAAAAACGTTTAAACTGGTGTCTAGATAAAAAAGATTGGACTATTAGAAAGTGGAAAAATGTCATTTGGAGTGACGAGAGTAGATTTACATTGTTTAAAAATGATGGCCCAGGTCGTGTATGGAGAAAACCTCAAACGAGATTTCATATTGAAAATCTTCAGCCGACAGTGAAACATGGTGGTGGTGGTATAATGGTATGGAGTTGTTTTTCAGGCAAAGGATTAGGGCCACTCGTGAAAGTTGATGGGAAAATGAACAGGCATGACTACATACAAATTCTCCAATCAAA